CAAAAAGGAAATACAAGCAATTAAAGAGCAACTTTCATAATTAAATTCCTTGAAATCCAATATAGTGGGTTTAGCAACATCTAGATTTTTATTTCTTTCAATCCCACTTTCATCAATTTCATCATTAAGATCTAAACACTCTGAATTTTTAGAACGCCTTCTAGGCAAAGGAAGATCATATTCAATTTCATCAAGATTAATATTGCAAAATAAAGATTTCATAGGGGACACATCAATAACTTTAAGATCTTCATCTTGATTTTCATAGGAATTGGAAGAACACGCTTTAATAAAGGCATCTTTGGAAGCACGCATCCTAGCGGTTCTTTCTTTGCACTCATCAATGGAAATTCTCATGGCTTTGAGAGACTCATTGATATCATGTTTAGGAGGAATAGATCTAAGATTTAAAGAATCAACCTCAAGAGAAATTCTATCAATGTTTCTAGCCAAATCATCAACTTTAAGCAATTTCTCCTCAAGCAAAGCATTAAAATTCTTTTGTGAATTCATAAACTCTTTAACACTATTCTCAAATTCAGAGGGCATCTTATTATAATTTCCATAAGAGTTGTTGTAGGAATTACCATAATTATTAGAAGGATTACTAGGATATGGCCTAGGATTAAAATTCCCTCTATAAGCGTTGTTACCAAATTTATTCCTACCAACAAAATTCACATCCATAGATTCATTGTTATTCTCAATCAAAGTAGACAAAGGCATATCATTAGGATCAGAAGAAACACTCTTAGTAGCAAATAATTTCATAAGTTCATCCATCTTTCCACTCAACACATTGATTTCTTCTATCACATGCAATTTTTTATTAGAAGATTTTTCAGTATGCCATTGAGAATAATTAACCATAATATTATCTAGGAGTTTAGTAGCATCTCCTAAAGTGATTTCCATAAAAGTGCCTCCCGCGGCCGAATCTAAAAGATTTATAGAAGCAAAATTCAATCTGGCATAAAATTTTTGTATAATCATCCACAAATTCAAACCATGAGTAGGGCAATTACGTATCATTAATTTCATTCTCTCCCAATCTTGTGCAACATGTTCATGATCAAGTTGTTTAAAGTTCATAATATTGTTTCTAAGAGAGATGATCTTAGCGGGAGGAAAATACTTAGAGATAAAAGCATCTTTGCACTTGTTCCATGAATCAATACTATTCTTAGGCAAAGATGAAAACCAAGCTTTAGCACGATCTCTAAGAGAAAAAGGAAATAGCTTCAATTTAACGACATCATTATTGACATCTTTTTTCTTTTGCATATCACATAAATCAATAGCGGCATCTTCACTAGGAAGGTCGGTGAATTGATCTTTCATAAATAGATTCAACAAAGCAATATTAATTTCACAAGATTCAGCATCGATAAGAGGAGAAATCAGAGTGCTAAGGAAATCATTATTATTGGTATTGGTGAAGTCACACAATTTGGTAGTATCTTGAGCCATCACGACAAACAAGCAATCTAACACACAAGCAAACAAAAAGCAAACGGGCAAAAAGAGGCAAATAGAGAGGGAGGATAGAGAGAGAGGGAGCGAATAAAACGTCAATGGTGAATTGGGGGGAGAGGAAAACGAGAGGCAAATGGCAAATAATGTAATGCGAGAGATAGGGATTGTGATGAGTACTTGGTATGTTGACTTTTTGCGTAGACTCCCCGGCAACGACGCCAGAAATCCTTCTTGCTACGTCTTGAGCTTGCGTTGGTTTTCCCCGAAGAGGAAGGGATGATGTAGCAGAGTAGCGTAAGTATTTCCCTCAGTTTTTGAGAACCAAGGTATCAATCGAGTAGGATCCCACGCTCAAGTCCCTCGTACCTGCACAAAGCGATAGCTACTCGCAACCAACACGATTAGGGGTTGTCAATCCCTTCACGGTCACTTATGAGAGTGAGATCTGATAGATATAATATTTTTGGGTATAAAGATGCATAGTAAAAAGTAAAAGCACAGTAAAAAAGCAAAGCAAGATTAAAGTGATGGAGATTGATATGATGAGAATAGACCTGGGGGCCATAGGTTTCACTAGTGGCTTCTCTCAAGAGCATAAGTATTCTACGGTGGGTGAACAAATTACTGTTGAGAAATTGACAGAATTGAGCATAGTTATGAGAATATCTAGGCATGATCATGTATATAGGCATCACGTCCATGACAAGTAGACCAAAACGATTCTGCATCTACTACTATTACTCCACTCATCGACCGCTATCCAGCATGCATCTAGAGTATTAAGTTAAAAACAGAGTAACGCCTTAAGCAAGATGACATGATGTAGAGAGATAAATTCATGCAATATGAAATAAACCCCATCTTGTTATCCTCGATGGCAACAATAAAATACGTGCCTTCCTGCCCCTTCTGTCACCGGGTAAGGACACCACAGGATCGAACCCAAAGCCAAGCACTTCTCCCATGGTGAAAGACTTGCAAAGATAACCAATCATACATAAAAGAATTCAGAGAAGATTCAAATATTATTCATAGATAGACTTGATCATAAACCGACAATTCATCGGTCTCAACAAACACACCGCAAAAAGAAGATTACATCGAATAGATCTCCACAAGAGAGGGGGAGAACTTTGTATTGAGATTCAAAGAGAGAGAAGAAGCCATCTAGCTACTAACTATGGACCCGAAGGTCTGAGGTAAACTACTCACACTTCATCGGAGAGGCTAGGATGATGTAGAAGCCCTCCGTGATGACGGCCCTCTCCTGGCGGAGCTCCGGAACAGGCCCCAAGATGGGATCTCGTGGATACAGAAAGTTGTGGCGGTGGAATTAGGTTTTTGGCTCCTGTTCTGATCGTTTGGGTGTAAAGTGTATATATAGGAGGAAGAAGTACGCCGGAGAAGCAACAAGGGGCCCACGAGGCAGGGGGCGCGCCCTAGGGGGGGCGCCCTCCACCCTCTTGACCGCCTCTTTTGTTCCTTGGAGCAGGGTCCAAGTATTCTGGATGACGTTCGGTGAGAAAATCACGTTCCCAAAGATTTTATTCCATTTGGACTACGTTTGATATTCCGTTTCTTCAAAACACTGAAATAGGCAAAAAACAACAATTCTGGGCTGGGCCTCCGGTTAATAGGTTAGTCCCAAAAATAATATAAACGTGGAAAATAAAGCCCAATATAGTCCAAAATAGTAGATAATATAGCATGGAGCAATCAAAAATTATAGATACGTTGGAGACGTATCAAAGGGCTCCTGTTCAACCACCCCTCCACGGGCTACTATTTATCCTGCCCTCCACCGTCTACTGTTCATCCTACCCTCCACGGGGTGGTCCTGTTCATCCAGTGCCAACCGGCTCGATCGATAGGGGTCCTGTTCATCTAGAGGCAACACCACGGGGTCCTGTTCATCCACCCCCACCGGGAACTGTTCATCCACCCCCCCCCCACAACGCTCACTGTTCATCCAGAGGTAGCATTGGTCGGCTTTAGTTAGCAGCTGTAGAAAAGGAATCGCTCGATCGGGTTCAGTTAATAGCCATCTATCGACCGCTCGGGTTCAGTAACGTGTAGCCTGCAGTGCAATCGCTCGGGTTCAGTTAGAACCCAACGCCTCGCTCGGGTTCAGTTAGAGCCAACGCCTCACACACACGCGCGTATGTGTATGAGAGAAACGCGCATCGCTCGGCCCCCAACCTCCCACCGTAACCGGGAACTCCCCGAAATTTTCCTCGCCCTCGCTTCTACAACGGTTTATTCCGTCATGGACGACCCAAAGAATGTCATGCAGCTGCGTCTCCGGCCCGCCCAGGACGAAAAGCCCATTTTCTGTCATGATTTTTTGTCATAGAAGTAGGAGCCCACCACATCTATGATGATACCAGGTTTTGTCACAATTATCGTCATAGAAGTGTCATATGTATGACAGAAAAAAATTTCGTTCGGCCCAAAATGTCACGGATGTGTCTTTGTTTTGTAGTGGAGGTAGGACCGTAGGAGTTGTCCCTTCTTCGGCCTATCTTGGTCCTTCCCTTAGAAGACGACTGGTCCATTGCAATCTACTCTATTTGGTTATCCCTGGTCCTAAGAGTAGTGGTGAAAATGCTAGTTATCGACTAGAGGGGGTTAATAGGCGATTTTTATGAAAGTCTTCAAGACAAGGAATGTGTTCGAAGACAGGCAAACAATTGACACGTACACAGTACGCAGCGGAAGATAAACTACACTAGCCTTGCCATGGGTAAAGAGACAGAGGAGATTAAGCACGAAGGAAAATAGCAGCTAGGTAGAACATATTGGAATTGGAAAACAATATGAAGCCAAATATGCAATCAGAGTGAATGTCTTCACACAATGAAGTCAAACAAAACAGGCAAGAAACGACTTCATGAAGCTAAACTGTAAGTAAATGGGTGAAGTGATAGAACCAGTTGCTTGACAAAGACCCACTTGAAAGTGTCAACTGTTTCATCGCTGACTAGCACGCCCCCAAATATCACACTCTAGAAGTGATTATTGACCCCTATGAACAGCCCAAATGGCATATCATATATGTTTGTGTGGTATGTAGTATCCAATGTTATGGCATCCCCAAAGTAATGGTAATGTGCTCTACTTGCTCTGGTTAACCATATCAAATTTCGTATATGGCTCTCCTCATCAGGCTGCACTCGGTAGTAGAGATCAGAGTCTTTTGCCCCAATTCAGAAAAAACATACATGGTTTTCTTTACATCCTCGTCTACTTGCTCTCGACTGATCTTGCTACATAGTCCTCTCAGTGCCCTTTTACTGAAAGGTACATTTGTCATTAAACCGAAGAAACTACCAATTATATTGTACACCTTTCCGATGCTAATGTTGTTCGCACGGAGTTGCTTCACAACATCCCTTGTGTATATATCGATATGTCTATGTGAGGCTAGTACATCTCTTCGCCACATTTTTTAGTGAGTACATGATTGTGCTCTGGTTTGTACTCTGTTATGTACCACCCACTGTCATCTGATCGAAGCAACCGTATCATTGCAGGGTATCTGCATCTGCATGTCCTAGTGTTACTCTTTTTCGGTATTCCCTATGTGAGGCACAACAACTACATAGCATCACTTTCGTATTTGTTTTGCAGAACTTAGGCATGAGAAATACATGATCGTTTAATACTACACTGGATTAGAAAGATCACTTACAGAACATCCATAGACTATCTCCTGCATGCATTTTGTTCTTTCGACATTAAGCCTGCTCTTGCCGTACCTTATCCCAAACCCAATCTCCCAGGAATAGAGATTATAGTAATCATATGCTTCTCCAAGCGACTCAACATTGACCCCTATTGCTGGAACCACTATTGTGTCAGCCTTCTTCTCCGCATATCTTCGCAATGTTTTTTCAAGAGCACTGATTCGGCCAACACATGGTGGGCATTCGACAGGTGCATGTCCCACACATACTCTGTATTATGCAGTGGCATGAAATTTCATAAACAATTTTAGTAAGATATAGTTACATGCTAAATACCTTCTTTGTTTAGAGTGGAACTGTAAGTGCATCTAGTGCCACCCCTAGTTGGTTTTGGAGTATTGACGACAAACCTGGTTGAGGGACCAATGTGTTTGTGAGAATTACAGGATAACACAGGTAGGAGTCCCTCATTGATTCGGTTTTCCTACCGGAGATGACCCCTAAAAATGTATGAAGACATTGAAGACAAAGGTGGTATGTGAAGATATTCACAGTGAAGACTATGACAAGAGAAGACACTGAGTGAAGACTATGGAGCGCGAAGACTTAGTTGTTTCATTGTTTCCTTTTCTTCTTTGTTGAGTCATAGGAACCATCGTACTGTTAAGTGGGGTCCGAGTGAACCAGTCAGAATGACTGAAGTGATGCTTAACCAAAATCCTATGTCTTCGAGCGAAGACAATGAGAGCAAATCTTATCCAGAGCTGGATAAGTCAGCTTTGCTTGTAGCCCAAGTAAAGTTGCTGTGTGTGTTTGAAATCTGACAATTGGAACAGGTGTCAGTTCCTTAGTGACCCAGGGTCATTTCAGACAAATCAGGTCGGGTTGACTAGTGGCTATAAATAGCCCACCCCCTACACCATAAATTGGTTGGCTGCTCAGAGTTAGTGCACGGCTTTTGTCGTTTGAGAGCAAACCACCTCGAAGCCTTTGAGAGAGAAATCCTTGCAAGGACAAAACCTTGAACACCCAGAGCCAAAGAGTGTTAGACATCACTGAAGTCTTCCTGTCTGTGTGATCTGAAGACTTATTACACTTGAGGGCTGTGAATCCTCCATCTGGTTAGGCGTCGCGTTCTGAGCATCCAAGAGTCATTATGGATCGCCGGTGAACGAAGTCTGTGAAGGTTTGGAAGTCTACCTTGAAGACTTACCAGAGTGATTGGGCGAGGACTGGGTGTCCTTAGCTCAAGGGGAATAAGGTGAAGACACGGTCTTCTGAGTTAAATCTCAGCCTCCCTAACTAGACGTACAGTTGTCATAGCAACTGGAACTGGTCCAACAAATCATTGTCTTCAATGAGCAACTGGTTCTATCCTTCCCGTCTCTTTATTACAGTTGGTCCTTGTGAAGTCATTTCCTATTTGCATTATCTGTTTGTCTTCACTGTGAGACTGCTTGTTCTGTTTGGCTTCATACTATCTTCCATCCTGATCCATACTGCCTAGCTGCTATTAGTCTTTGTGCTTTCACTTCATTGAATACTTGACTATGGCTTGCCTAGTGTAGTCTACCATCCGCTGCATGTTAATAGGTACATTTCTATCGTTTGTCTTTGAAACTTCCATGTTTTGAAGACTTTCATAAAAATCGCCTATTCACCCCCCCTCTAGTCGATCACTAGCACTTTCAGGAACTAGCGACCCTAATTACGATTTCGACATATAAAAGTACACATGCCAATCAGTTTTTTCATAAGTTTGGAATAGAACATCATATGTGATGGAAATATGCCCTAGAGGCAATAATAAAATGGTTATTACTATGTTTCCTAAATCATGATAAAGGTTTATTATTCATGCTAGAATTGTATAGATGAGAAACTTAAATACATGTGTGGATACGTAAACAAATACCGTGCCCTAGTGAGCCTCTACTAGACTAGCTCATTGATCAAAGATCGTTAAGGTTTCCTAACCATAAACATGAGTTATCATTTGATAATGGGATCACATCATTAGGAGAATGATGTGATGGACAAGACCCATCCATTAGCTTAGCATATTGATCATTCAGTTAATTGCTATTGCTTTCTTAAATGTCAAATACATATTCCTCCGACTATGAGATTATGCAACTCCCGGATACCATAGGAATACCTTGTGTGCTATCAAACATCACAACATAACTGGGTGATCATAAAGATGCTCTACAGGTATCTCCGAAGGTGTTTGTTGAGTTGGCATAGATCGAGATTAGAATTTTTCACCCCGAGTATCGGAGAGGCATCTCTGGGCCCTCTCGGTAATACACATCATAAGAAGCCTTGCAAGCAAAGTGACTAAGGAGTTAGTTGCAAGATGATGTATTATGGAATGAGTAAAGAGACTTGCCGGTAACGAGATTGAAGTAGGTATGTAGATACCGACGATCGAATCCCGGGCAAGTAACATACCGATGGACAAAGGGAATTACATATGTTGTCATTAGGTTCGACTGATAAAGATCTTCGTAGAATATGTAGGAGCCAACATGGGCATCCAGGTTCCGCTATTGGTTATTAACCGGAGAAGTGTCTCAGTCATGCCTACATAGTTCTTACTACTTCTTGAGCTTGCGTTGGATTTTCCCTTGAAGAGGAAAGCATGATGCAGCAAAGTAGAGATAAGTATTTCCCTCAGTTTGAAAACCAAGGTATCAATCCAGTAGGAGACAACACACAAATCACCGAATACTTGCACAAACAATCAAACAACTTGCACCCAATGCGATAAAGGGATTGTCAATCCCTTCACGGTTACTTGCAAAAGTGAGATCTGATAGAGATAGATAAACGATAAAGTAAATATTTTTGGTATTTTTGGTTTATAGATCGGAAAGTAAAATATTGCAAAATAGTAGATCGGAAACTTAATTATATGATGGAAAATAGACCCGAGGGCCATAGATTTCACTAGAGGCTTCTCTCAAGATAGAAAATAATAAGGTGGGTGAACAAATTACTGTCGAGCAATTGATAGAAAAGCGCAAAGTTATGATGATATCTAAGGCAATGATCATGAATATAGGCATCACGTCCGTGTCAAGTAGACCGAAACGATTCTGCATCTATTACTATTACTTCACACATCGACCGCTATCCAGGATGCATCTAGAGTATTAAGTTCATAAAGAACGGAGTAATGCATTAACTAAAGATGACATGATGTAGAGGAATTAACTCAAGCAATATGATGAAAACCCCATCTTTTTATCCTTGATGGCAACAATACAATACGTGCCTTGCTGCCCCTACTGTCACTGCGAAAGGACACGCAAGATTGAACCCAAAGCTAAGCACTTCTCCCATTGCAAGAAATACCAATATAGTTGGCCAAACCAAACCGATAGTTCGAAGAGAATTACAAAGATATAAAATCATGCATATAAGAATTCAGAGAAGATTCAAATAATATTCATAGATAAGCTGATCATAAATCCACAATTCATCGGATCTCGGCAAACACACCGCAAAAAAGTATTACATCGAATAGATCTCCAAGAACATCAAGGAGAACATGGTATTGAGAATCTAAGAGAGAGAAGAAGCCATCTAGCTACTAGCTATGGACCTGTAGGTCAGAGGTAAACTATCACGCTTCATCGGAAGGGCAATAGAGTTGATGTAGAAGCCCTCCGTGATTTAATTCCCCTCCGACAGGGTGTCGGAAAAGGTCCCTAGATGGGATCTCATGGGTATAGAAGGTTGCGTCGGTGGAAAAGTGTTTTCGTGGATGCCTCTGGTGGTTTGGGGATATAAAGGAATATATATAGGCAAGAGAATTAGGTCAGGAGGTGCATGAGGGGCCCACAAGGGTGGGGGCGCGCCCTCCTTCCTTGTGGCTTCATCGTGGCTCCTCCGGCTTCATCTCCAAGTCTCCTGGTTGTCTTCCGGTCCAAGAAAGATCATCGCGAAGGTTTTATTCCGTTTGGTATTCCTTTTCTACGAAACTCAAAAACAGGGAAAAATAGGAACTGGCACTGGGCTCTAGGTTAATAGGTTAGTCCCAGAAATAATATAAAATAGCATATAAAACATCGAAAACAGATAATATAATAGCATGGAACAATCAAAAATTATATATACGTTGGATACGTATCAGTTTTCGAACCCGTAGGGTCCGCACGCTTAACGTTCGTTGACGATATAGTGTTATATGAGTTATATGATTTGGTGACCGAATGTTGTTCGGAGTCCCGGATGTGATCATGGACATGACGAGGAGCTCCGGAATGGTCCGAAGGTAAATATTGATATATAGGACGATGATATTTGGATAGAGTTTCGGGATGTACCGGGTAGAAATCGGGTCACTGGAAGGGGTTCCGGACACCCCCGGGAGGTTAATGGGCCATATGGGCCAAAGGGGGGAACACACCAACCCACAAGGGGATGGCGCGCCCCTCCTAGGCCACAGCCCTTGGGGAGAGAAGGAAAGGGGGGGGAGTCGGCCTCCCCCTTCCTTTCCTCTCCCCCCTTTCCTTTCCCCTCCGGCAAATATGGTAAGGGGGCACGACTAGGGAAAGACCCCAAGTAGGATTCGACCCTACTTGGGGCGCCCCTTGGCCTCTCCCCTCTCCCCCACCTATATATATGTGGGAAGGGGCACCACACATAACCACAACAATTGCTTAGCCGTGTGCAGCGCCCCCTCCACAGTTTAGTGCCTCTGTCATTTTTTCACAGTGCTTAGGCGAAGCCCTGCGGAGATAGCTTCACCATCACCGTCACCCCGCCGTCATGCTGCCGAAACTCATCCATTACTTCTCCATGTTGCTAGATCAAAAAGGCGAGGACGTCACCAAGTTGAACGTGTCCTGAACACGGAGGTGTCGTACGTACGGTACTCGATCGGTTGGAGCGCGAAGAAGTTCGACTACATCAACCGCGTTAACAAACGCTTCCACTTACGGTCTACGAGGGTACGTAGACACACTCTCCCCCTCATTTCTATGCATCTCCATGGATATATCTTGAGTGTGTGTAGAATTTTTTTGTTTTCCATGCAACGTTTCCCAACTGTGGCATCCGAGCCAGGTCTATGCGTAGATGATATGCATGAGTAGAACACAAAGAGTTGTGGGTGGTGATAGTCATACCGCTTACCAC